TTAACAATTAATGAAAAAAATTGTAGATATAAAATTCCAACTTGGAAGAGTACAGTAGGTGCTTGCTAATTTCCTTTAATTTCCTGTGAGGAACGTTTCGTGCTCAAACGAATGTATATGTTCGATAATTCCCCCTTTTTAACTGACTTCGAAAAAGGAACAGGTTACTCAATTCGATTTTTTTTTTTTTTTTTTTTTTTGAGAAATGTGCACTCTCCTGCAATTCCGACATACAGAGAATTATCCGGCACTTACTGCAGATCGTAATCGTTTACGAATGTAACGTGTCGGTATTCTCGTCATGAATTTGATGATCCAAGAACCGATGGTTCGTTTATCGAACGGATGCTTGAAAAAGGAGCAATGGCTATTCGAAGCCGATTGGCGTGCTGCTTTTTAGTTCAATCGTACCTGGTGCATCCTGATCGAGACAGCTGCTTCTCCTTACATCGAGCTGGTTACTTTGTGATAGAAATTGCTCGGTTAATCCATGAAATGAATGCTCTTTAGAATGTATTCAATATAACCTAATACGATAGATAGAAAATCAAAAATAAAGAATTTCTATTCAGAAACGAATTCATTGAACTTTAAAACAATTTTATCTATTGATTGAACGAAGGGGAACAAGAGAAGAGATAATTTGTAACATACACAGATCGTGGTACCAAGTTGCAAATGTCGACATGTTAATGCTTCTTTGACATTTTGCGTTGTGCATGAATTTGCAGTTGTTGCATCGCCGGAGATGACAATAATTGCAGAAATGCAACGAGAAATTATTACCGAGACGGAGACCTTTAGAAACGAAACTATTAGTATCAATTTGTTGAGTTTCTAAATATTATTTATCGATATCTTTTACGCATAATTATTACAGTTTAAATTTCAAAATTAATTAAGGAATCGAAGCTCAGATTAAAAAAGCAGCTAACACGTTTCTTCTCTTAAGCAATTTACAAGGAACAATGTTCCGTCTGTTTGCAATTCCATTCACTCTGATCATTGTGTTAAAGGAAGTGTCAAGTAAAGCGAAGGAGATCGTAGTTGCGACACGACTTTGAAGTTCACTCGGTTCTCATTGCGTTCCCCTTTTATGATCCCGCTTGAGAACGCTTCTGCCCGGTCGGCTGCGTTTCCTGAGCTCTCGAAATGGCACTCACACTTTATGATACGCGGGAACGGAATTGCCTTTCCACGTAGAACAGACTCGCGAGGGCTCGAGAGTCAAATATGAGCACGTCGAGCTAGTCCGACGTATGCCCTATTATGCGCTTGACGAGATCGCAGTCGGCTTTGCTTTTCGCAGCACGAGATACGACGACAAAGATACCGCGACATTGTCACCGTGCAAAAATACGCGAAACGCTAACTGCATCGATCCTATCGCTTAAGGAAACCCTCACAGACATTTGGATGATTCTAAAATTCGAAAATTTTAGAATTCCAAGGTTCCAAAGTTCGAAAGTCCCAAAGTCATAAAATTCTAAAGTTTGAAAGTTCCTAAGCTGAAAAATTCAAAAATTTCTGAAAGACCTGATCAAAATCATGCAGCAATCAAAATGTTAAGGAACTCGTCTGAAAATAAAAATAAAAAAAAGCATCCCTGAGAGTAATAACACCATAGGAAGAATAACGAGCTTCAGGAGGGAAGTTCCAGGTACACTTGTCAAAGAAACTAATGCGAGATTACGCCAACAATACGGAGATATAGGGATGCAATTAACCCGCTGTACCGTATCCAATCTTCAATTACGATTGCGCCTAGCGTTTCGTTTTTATGTAAGCCCCGGTTACCTATGCTTTTATCCGATTTTATCCGTCATTGCATCGAACCGATGCACAATAGCAGAGTGCACGGTGCAGGAAGATCGTTGCAACGATGCTCTACATAAAGAACGATCGATCTCCCGAATGATTGTTAAGTAAGAGATGCATCTATATACTGTTCTGTTCAAGGTGTTGTTCTATGTACAGCATAAAATAAAAAAATAAAATACGATTAGATATTTCGTTATTTCAATTCATTTCTAATAACATATCGAACCGCTATGTAAGATATAGAAACTGAAATTGTTCAATAACCTTGAAGATAACATATAATTAATTTATAAGCATTGGAAATTAAATTACTACAGGATATATTAATATTCTAGACAACTTGTCGAATGCCAATGTGAAGCAGATATTTAGTATTGATCAGTTTCTCTGAAGAGATCACTTTAGAGAACCTGTTCAAACGGAAATAACCGAACGACCCATTTTATCGAGCCTTTGCACTTTCTCCCAATTAAAACATTTGGATCTCGTGTTCCTCGAGAGACCAAATCTGGAAGCAGCATAGACAGAATCGTTTATTATTCTTTTATATAAAAAAAAAAATTTCAAATATATTATACATCTAAGCCATACTAGACACCATGATATCTTCTCTTTATCATAAAACGGTATTCTATTACGAATATATTCGAAAAAGAAGAATCTGAATTCCTTTAAACTGGCTCTATTCGAAGTGACTTCTTTACGCGGCCATTACGCGGTTATTTCTAGCGATTCGTATCGGAACGATTAGCTCGCTTCCATTTTCGATTCGTTAACACGGAAGGTGGTTATACGCGTGACATTCGGCTGTTATCAATACCTTCGGCGATCGCAGCTGAAAATAGCCAGGATATCGAAGAAGCGTCTTAAAACGATGCAACTTGGAGCGCATCGGTTCGCGATATACAGTGCATGCCGCTTTTAAGGGGTGGGAGAAGCACACCAGTCAAACTGGTATCATTGTTCCAGCCGTACGCTAACGCATACATATGCATACCGCGATGCAACTGCAACTGCAACGTCTGCAGACAGTTCGCGTTTGAGGATCTTCATGAACGCGTACGATGTTGCGTATTCCACGTTTTTACATCCCGTAATAAATTAATGCCACTTTTTTCTTCTTTTATAATTAACCCTTTCGCTGTATAGTCATCGAATGCAAAGTCATTTATTCAGGAACGGATTAAGGTTTCTGGGACCCGAGGCTATTGAACCCTTTTTTGAAACGTGCTTCAAAAATTGCAATTTTTTGACGAAATAAATGGAGGGCTTAGAAAAGGACCGTATGCAAAGTTGGGCCCGGTGTTGTAGCCTTCCTTATAACATCCCTTAATTCGATCCCTTAGAAACTTTTTATGAAATATCCACCCTAAATTATTTTTAATTGCAAATACAATTTTATTACCTCATAGTGCGTTCAAGAGGGCAAAAGTGAAAGCAATAGAGTTAATAACCGAGGCCATTTTCACTTTCCTGCCTGTAATTTTCACGAGTTATCGCTATTAACTCGACAGAACGTGAAAAAATGCAGTAAAACACGAAAAGATGAATCAACAGGCGATACACGCCATTGATTTAGCAATTCAGTTAATAATATAGGATTATTTGCGTATGATTAATTGCAACAAGTATAGTAATTGGATTTTCGATCCCCGCATCGATTGATTGATATTCGACGCGGGTCAACAAGGAAAAATAATGGAAAAATCGTGTGTAACATCGCGTAACGTGTCGAACACCGGTTCCTTATGATGCTGCAACAGCTACTGGCCTATCCTCGACGATTCCCGGATTATTCGTTTTATCGTGGTTGTATAATTACGGAGAAAGTACGAGAAGATGCTTCCTATCCGTTTTATTGCCACGAAAGAAACACCGTTATATAACTCGCTTCGTGCACAACGATTTTATGCGCTGCTAGATGGATGAACGTACGACACGGTGTACGCTCGACACGTTTAAATATACTTTTCCACTTAGGAGAACGAAGGTGAAAAGTCGTTTGTCAGTCTGTCGACAGAAGAAGAGTCTGGACGTGTAATAGTATCTTTGACTTGGTCAGATTGAAACAGTAGGTAAGGAACGAAGAAAAATTGAAAAGTTGTAAGTTACGTCTAAATAACTTCGGCATAAATTGATTAATATTTATATTTATTAAATTTTACGATAATAGCCGTCAGAAAATCTTCATCCTTTTCGCATGTTATTGTCATTCAAACTGAAAGAAATTTATGTCCCTGAAATGGTCGATCAACCAATGGTACTTCGACTCATCTTCCATTACTTCTTGCGTCAAATCAAATATTTAATAACCCCGGAGGAATCGTACAGGTATCGTGACTAGCCATTCGTACTCTGCTTTTTAGGGAGCGAACAGGGGACAACGAAACACAAGCAGACGGCCAAATAAACGAGATATCGCGGACAAAAATATGGGATCGAAGTCACGTAGTTTGGTAAATTAAATCTCACTCGACACGTAAAAACATCGTAAACTACCGTGGTCGCGTTCCTTTTTCGTCCTTAGAACACCTGGGGCTGGTGCATCGATCTGCGGAATTTTACCTGTTCCGAGCCCTCTAATGCATGCTTACTCTCTTACAATGGGGTAGAACACCGTTCATTTGAATTTAAACAAAGATGCATTTTAAGCGCATCGCATGCGTTTTGAAATTTCAATGAATACTGATTGCACCTTCGCAGGAAAATGAAAATGAATTACTCTTCAAAATGAAACTGGCGAAGGAAAATGTGACTATAAAATAGAGGGTAAATTTTTTAATAGGTAATTAATAGACAATTAATAAATTTCCCTTTTCCATTTCTCATTTTTCAATTTAAAAAACAAAATCATTCTCTGGTATCCTTCATCGAGTACCGATCAAACTTCAAAGCGGTATCAATTTATCGTCCCGTTCAATTTCGTCTAATCTACGATCGTGTTAAAAAAATCCCCCAAGGACGTATGATAATCGCTTTTTCGGCTGAGGGAACCCTTGAAAGATGGCTGACAGAGGGCACCCAACCGAAATCCGGTACGAAAAAACGAACATCACGGCTGAACGAACGCCTATGTTCCTCTGAAAAGCTATTTTCAGGCCTCTCGTAATTATAGACCTTTCAGGATACTCTCTGCTACACAATGCAGAAAGAATAACGTGTGCCAAATTCCTTGCGGCGTAGTCTTTCGGAAACCCGGCACCCATAAGTTTCGTATTATAAATCTTGTCCGGACGAACGAAACGAAGGAATCACCGAAGAAAATCTTTGAAGAACGGGCACAGGTATGTAGTTTATCTAAAATCACCGACTAGTCTAGGCCGTGTCGAAATTTATCGGATTTATTCAACGGTACGTCGGATTTTCGATCCGGTCCGGTTTGCCTGAGATATCCGAAAGAGTTACGAGGCTAAACGAATTCGACTCCCTGGGATATACAGGATGTTTCGAAACGCGTGGACAAAAATTCTCGTAACAATTTGCTAGAGAAAAATAACGACCCCGAGGTAAAGAAATCCAAATAATTTAATAAAAACTAAAACGCGTTGATAATTTTTTTTAATATTAAAAATTCCGACGGATATCTAGTCCTCTAAATTGCCACTCCGAGTATTCCCTCGTAAATCAGTCGAGCGAGAAGAGTATACCGATTCAGAAGTACAGCATGGATCCATCGCGAATATCAGACGAAAGCAGCAACGTGGCTATGCGATCGAAATAAAAGCAAAACAGGAATACCGGTAAATCGTCGTAAATTTCATGGCTGTAAATGCCATTCAAACATCCCCCCTTTTATATTTCCTTTACCGTGCCAGTTTGCCTGCGGTGCAGCCTCGATTGCTTGCAAAATTCTCTCGCAACCAACAGCCTTAAATATTCCGCTTTTTTCGTTACGCTAATTTGCAACAAAATCAAACATTCGAAAGATCGGAAATCTGTATTTTATCTTGGATAATAAATTTCAATGATCGTATGAATGAAAATGGTCTGGTTGCGAGAGAAATACCGAGTCTCCCTGAAAACTGACAATGGAAAGCTCGCACTTCATTTTTCTGCGAGGGGAAAAAAAACTCGTTCGAGCTTCTGTGGAAACGCGCGTTTCCATAATCCTGGGGAGCGCACGTGGGTACCGGTTCGAAAAGGGCATAGACAGGGACCGCTGTACATTTCTGCGATCGGTCACCAATAAATATCAAACTTTCATTTGCAGATACCGAGGCAGCATTCTGTGTAGCATTGCTGCTACTCGGATTGCCTTATGCAGACAAAAGGTACGTGTACACAACGCTCGCCACTATCCATCGATACTGTTCACCATGACAAAAAAAAAAAAACAAAAAAAAAATACAACTCCAACAGACTGGAGATCCGTTCTTTAACCGTTTCACGAAACCAATTAACCTTTCGATCGAGGATATGCCCGTTTCCTTCATTACCATATTCCTCTATTGTCGCCAGAGAACAAAGAAATTTATTTCCAATTCGAATGATGTATTTCAAAATCTTTCATTATAATAATTAGAAAGGCATCGAATTAATTTGGGCATCTAATTACAAGTGTACAGAAAACAGCTAAGAAATCTTCCGAAATGTATATGTATCCTTGTGTTATTAATCTGAACATAAATTGCACCCTCGGCCCTTTTATAAGGCAACAATAGAAGCAAAAGGAGAAGAAAGTGATCGGTGTCTCGGTGTATAAGGTAAAGCAAGAAGATATTCACGGGAATTTAGTAGGAATATCCCATGGCCACCAGCGGCGAGTATACGGACTCTAAATACAGCCACCTTGGGATACCCCTTGCTGGCAAGATCTAGCCAAACGTGTTCTGCAGCCAAGAGGGAGAAGATTGGCCGTCAGTCACCGCGGCAATGGATGCATTGTATCTGCACTAAAGCCTAGCCGGATCTTCCAGCGAGATAACGAAGATGATCCCGATTGCCTCCACCATATATTTTTCAATGAATCATTGTCATTACCCAATAGGAAATATCATACAAAAGAATGATTCTTTTTTATCGACAAAGAAAGTTAATCATTTATCATGAAAATTTGCTAATTGTGTTATCGAAAAAAAAATTGACTCAATTTGTCAATTTATTGATAATAAAAATATATGAAAATTTTTGAAAGAAATGGCATAATTTTTTTAATGACTCTCTCTGTGAATCAAGTCGTCAAGTTAGTACCGATATTATTGACAAGTGCTTTGCTCGCGTGTTTCAAAGAGATGAACAAAATACAAACGGAAGAGTGGAGCAATGTTCTACCGTCAGCGTAAGCCTGCAATTATACAGTAATTATCCGTGCACCCTTCATTAGCTGGTATATTGATATATTGCAGGGCTGACGAGAAGAACAACCCACCAATGCTCGTAAATTATTACCCGATTTCAAGTTATTCGCCACTTCAGGATTTACTTGCTTCGCTTTTCGATCCCTTTGCCACCGTGCAATTATCGCTCCTTATTTATTTTATTATTTCAAATTTTTCAACATTTAATTTTCTCTACTTGTCTGCGTTCAACTAGCGATATTTGAAAGATAAAACTTTTTAACGCTGCCTTATGTAGATGGTAATTAAATAAAAAATTAATAAAAAGTTCATTAATATCGACTTACATTGTCCGCAGCGTTGACGTCGATGTCCCGAAGAAGCAACGTTTCGCATACATCCAGATGACCAGCCGCAGCTGCCAACAAAAGTGGTCCTCTACCATTCTGTAACACGAATATCGAACCAATTATCTTTGCCTTCTCTTTCATAATTAGCATTTCCATGAAAAGGGAAAGGCGCGAGGTGTGAAAGTGTCGGGTAAATTAGATTCCTTAAAGTACTCACACCGTACGCAATGATTCACCGGAGGATTAATTAGCGACGTAATTAATTGATAGCCGTATTTCAGTATGTAATACACGCGTTTCCCTCGTCGAATTAGCTGCAACGATCGGACGACCCTTAGTTAGCTGAGCAGAGATTCGAGCAACACAACTGAGCCCACGACCTTATTCCTCGAACCCCTAATCCGTCCTCCTTTTACCAATTTTTATGCTTACAAAGTATCTTTCATCTTGTTTTAACATAAATTAGTGTATTACTATAATCATCCTTAACCAGCCGGGTAATTATATGAAAATAAGTAGAGAAAAAGTTGAACAACCACTTAAGGTGAATACCTGACTTTTCTTGTCGTATATCGAGCACATACATTACAGAAAATTAATAAATGACAGGATATATCATTTTGACACGTTGCTAACTTACGTTAGAATTTCCTGTAAGCTCGCCTCGAGTAATAGAACGAACTAACTTGGCCTATTAATGAAGAAGTATATCTTAGCCACGCAGGCTGGATGCAAGAAACGCGATATATCAAGTAGCAAATTGTTGTGAATATGAATCAAACGAAGGAAACTTATGGGTAACATAAATTTTATTTAGATTAAATTGTGGGATCGTAGGATTGGTAAGTTTCTTCGTTTAGAAAGGATACGATCTAGAGGTGATGATTTATCTGATTGATAATTTAGAATATGAAATATGTATTTGGAATATTTTCCTAAGGGCAAATATAAGAATTCCCATGCTATAATAATTGCAAAATCTGTATTCATAATTTCAATTATCTCGTGCATTTCACGATCAATATATCTCCTTGGAATACATTTTATTTACAAGTTCGCCGGGGGGCGAAAGGAAAAAAGTCGACGATTAATTTGACCGGTGCAATTAAGGAGGAAGTAATTGTAACGAATGCATAGATAATCGACCGTGTTGCCTCGCAGCCTACAAAATAACGTTTTGACAAATGTCTACTGAACACGTTTATCTGCATCCTCACCCTCGGCGACCGTCACAAAGAACATGCAAATATGTAACCTAATTAATATACCACCTTCGCGGCCACCTAATCAGCCTCGCGTTTAATGAATCTCTGACTTCATTAGCCTTAATTAAGATTATAAAAAATGGCGATAACTTTCTTGAAAAAGATTGTTATCAAATATAAATTTTTCTGAATCTGATGTAAAATTTGTTTTAATATAAGTATGATATTTTAAAATTAAATAAAAATTCAAGAATAATAAAGTAATCGTAAAATTTTTTACTTCTTTTATACAGATGCTATTCAGAAATGCTAATGAAGAAGGCGTGTCAATGGGGTGCATATATATGTATAAAACGGAAATGGACTCACCTCATCCGGTAATGGTTTAATATCTTCGTCAAGGAGACGCGCAACTCGTGCAACGTCCCCACGTGCGGCCGCCTCGCGCAACTTTTCTGCCATTCCAGCCAGGCATCTGTAAAAGAAAATGAAATGAACGGTCATTAGCGGAATTCGTTTGAACCTCGATGCTTTTCGTGCTGTACTTGCAGATTACCACGTCAGATATCCCGGTATCACGAGTTTCTTTCCAAATGAAATCGTTCTATTTGACGAGAATTTCATTTCTCTAATTTATACCCTCGTCCTATCTCTCAGCGACGATTTCTTTTCTAATAAATAAAACATCAAGACGAACAAGAAAAAGAATATAAAATTTAAATATCTTTAAGTATAAATACAAATTGTAATCGAGGAATTTAAAAATAAAATAATTTATACTTTTACGATTGTTTGCAAAAGATTTATGAATACCATTTATTAATTTGTATTTTATATCGTATTGTATTTAAGAATAAAAGTCACACGAGAAACGTGTAAAAGTTAATCCACGATCCAAGTTTCCGCCGGATGTCAACCGGTTACGTCTACGGTGTGCGTTCTATAGGAAAGAGGAACGAGAAACGCATATCAGTGAATTCAAGATCACATTAGATATCAATAAAAAAAAATATCACTCGCACTTTCTTTCGCATGATTACGTAACATGAAATAAAACGATTGAAATTCCATGGAAAACAAATGTAGAGAATGCATCACACGAATGATAAATTCTAATTTCTTTATATATTATAAAATAACAGCCATAAACTCGCACCGATTAAGTGTTCTTTTTTTTTTTTTAATTTAATTTAATGAGACAACAACAGTTTAAAGTAAGTACGTCATACACCTGGAGCGATCAAGAGTTTCTTAGATGCGCTCGTTTCTGTTTAATGGCCAAAGAACCGATTCGCAACGGATTAGAAGGGGAAGGATAACGAAGACACTTCCTGTTACTTATACTATCAAGGAATGCGTCGGTACCCCGAAGAAAAGTCGTTGATTATACCTGGTTCCGACATCATTCGGAGCATATTTTATTATAAGCTCGAGATCGGCAAAAGAACGATATCGACTTGTTGACTGATTCTTGTAACTACGAAGATAGATAAAATATACCTAAGTCTACTTTATCGTGAGTCATTTATCAATCGATGAAGACTCATAATATGTATACCCGCATTTAAATCAGGTTTCCCAGGAAACTGGGAAATCGTCCTTCCCCTTAGGCTTCCCCGGGAAAAATGACAATGTTGGGGAGAGGATCCCCTATACATAGACCTATATTTAAAAAGAAGAGAAATTCCTATTTTGAAAATTATTTTTCAAAGGAAACCTGATTCGCGAACTCCTATCCCGAGGTATCCGTTTAGGAAAATTGAAATATTTTCGTGGGGTCGTTTAATATTCACGTAAACATAGAAGTGATGATCCTCGTGGACGAGCATATTCTTTTTTATTTTTTCAACTCACGAAGCCATCGCATCCATTGTCTCCGAAACAATGGCACCGTGTATCATTGTTCCCTTTACAGAGGATACGCGTCCTTTTCTTCGTTGTCACTCCCTTTCCGCCCTTGTAATGAAGATCTGGCTGCAGGGATTATGAATGTGATCTCGCGTGTAATATTAATTTGGCTGGAGGTGTGGGCTTCTTTGAACCGTGTCGAAGATATGCCACTTCGAAGAATCACATGGGAGGGTTTCTATTCATCCGTATAAATTATAATTGCTTCCCGATGAATTATAGATTTTCATGGCCTTTTAATCATCCATTTCAAACGCAAGGTTATTATCGAGAACTATAATAACGAATTTTGAGAAGTAGACACTTATAGTTGAATTAAAACTTAGACGAGCCAACTTATTAGAATTCACTATCATAGTTTTTAATAATAATGTCTCAACTCACCCAAGTCGATGATAACTAGCTAAGTCAACTTATTAGAATGCGGAACATCGAATTCACAAGCATCGTTGATCGTAAATTAAAATGAAATGTCTCGTAGACACACGTGTACGCGGATGCGCGCAGGTGCCTCTCTATACAACGTGAAATTTTCAACAGACTTTGATTAATGATGCAAGGTTTCTCTTTAACAACTCGACTGTGCTAAATGCA